GAAGATGCTTCTTGTACGTCTCCTCGTATCTCACGGAGTTTGCGCTGGTTTGCGCAATTCTCGATGACTAATCTGCTCTTACAATCTTAGATCGCATGTCATAACGTGCTTTTACTTCTCTCCTTCACGATTCTTTTGGCGGTTCGTTTTGCGACATTTTAGTCAACAGCTTCCTAAATAACAATTTTGTTTGTGCATAAAACAGTGCTTTTAGTATATTCTCTTTTGATCTTTAATTTCCAAGCCTATGGTGCGGCACGGGCGCGTCTCCACTTTTGTAATTGATTATTAATAAACAACACTATATATATAACATTGTTAATAACGCTTACATGAGAATGATTATCAACAAGTAGAATAATTATTTGTTATAATTATTTAGAAAGATAAATAAGTCGAAAATCTTCTTGGCCGGCTCGTTATGATTTTATTTTTGGCTAGATTTATCATTTGTACCTATGATACACTTGGTGTGAAATAAAGATCGAGCTACGATTGATATATACTTTGATACATTGCTTTAAATATCGAAAAGTTGAATTATTTTAAGTCCTTAGTTTCTATATATGCCTCCCTTTTTTTCTGCTTTTTTGTTGCTGCCTCCTTCCTTTTCCCATTTTTTCGCTCCAATGTATTCCATTAAAAAAAAAAAAAGTTATTACGCAACTAGACTAGATATTTTACTTGCTATTGATCTTAATATTGTTCTCACTGTATTTAAACTAAACTCTCTGGAATTACCAAGTAACGCTAACGAAAGTGCGTCGCAAGGAGCTTAATAATGATTGGTGTTACCGGTTTAGCCCTTGTACATACACGTCTCTCTCTCTCTCTCTCTCTCTCTCTCTCTCTCTCTCTCTCTCTCTCTGAATATGACATAGGTAAAATTACATCTGCCAGAACAATCGTGTCCAACTGAACATGCGAGATTAATAGCCTGGAATTATTTTCATTATATACATGATAGATGTATCTTCCACGAGCGGATACACATACAAGAATACAAGAATAAACAAATGTCACGAGCGTACGCGTATAGTATTATACATATATATTATAAATAGTACCTGTTATGCGCTCGTTCGGTACATATACGTACGAGATATTCTGATGAACGAAATCAAGAGTGACACATCGCGTCGCACGCACGCAGTTACTCGCTTCAAGGATAAACTTTGGAACGAGTAAAACTCAACTCAAATTCACGCATGTGAAAAATGGTCACGTCGGGATGATGGATGTGATACATCGACTAAAGAAATATGATACATGTTTTTATGTGAATTTTATTTATAAAAAAGAAATGTACAAGTATGAAGAAAGGAAAACTAAACATGATCGATCTCAAGATCCCATAGATAAAATCCTCGCGTCAGATAAGTTTTTCGTAGCTATCGTGTTTTTCTTTCGATGATGAATCTGTGCATTGTGGTCAATTGTGGCTAATAAGATCAGTTTAGGAGTGGAATAAAAAATGGAAAATGAATAAAATGAATGTGAATGAATGCAGGGGAGCGAAGGAAAAGGAAGAGGCGCGCGCGCGCGTGTGTTTGTGTGTGTAATATTAACAATAGTAATGATCCTGTTACAGGACTGTCACGAGCGGGTGATGAAAAACGCTTCAACTGCAAAAGGTTTCTTCCTTTTCGTATTATTTCGAAAATTAGAATCGCCTATCATCAATGACATCAATCGTTATACGATGCGCGTGTGCTCATTTACACTACATGATTAATATCTTCTCCCTGTTTATATACGGACATTGGCCTAGGTTTTTACCGAGGATTTAAATCAGCTCAGAATGTAAGAACCAATCAACTACCAACCAATCAACTACAAGAACCAACAACTACTACTGTAAGAGTATTCCTCTGTTACAGTCAAACGACAGGGGAAATGGTCGATTGTAATTGGTTGATTCTTATCCGGTTTAAATTCTCGGTGGAAACTAGACCATTGTAGCATCGTTAAAATTAAAAAATAATCCAGAGAAGCTTTGCCACCATGATAACTGCGATAAATATTCTCGTTCATCGCGAGACAATATAATGTGTATATTAGTAATTAACACTTTGACACACTTACTCTTGAACCAAAATCTTTCTCTCTCTCTCTCTCTCTCTCTCTCTCTCTCTCTCTCTCTCTCTCTCTCTCTCTCT